GTTTACATACAGTGTCGGAGAGAAGGCCATTAGAGCGTCTTGAAGTCACGGTATCTAGGAGAAGGCCGTAGTTCGTCTGTTAGATACACCTATCGTGGATAAACGAAGGCCTGAGTGCACCGTTTGTTCACAACCCGTATAGATAACAACACGATCCGTCATTATTGGTGCTTTCATTGAGAGGTGCTGATCGTGTGATTATCTATCCTATCTTTTTTTTTCGGTTTGCCTTTTGCTGAGGGGCCGAATTTTTGTTCTTTTTTTCGAAATTTTCGAATTTTCTATTCGAATTTTTCAATTTTTCGTGTCTTAAAAAAAAGTGTCATCTTGTTAGTCTTTGTTTGATTTTTGTTTCGGTTATTACCTTTTGTTGAGGGGCCGAATTTCTCTTTGTTTAATTTTTATTTTTTGGTTCGAATTTTTCTTTTTTTTTTGAAAGAGTAAAAAAAAATAAAAATAGAGAGTCATGATGTTACCATTAGATGAGTGGGATCAAGAGAATCTTGAATATTTGGAAAATTTGGAGAGGGAATTAACCCCTTGGGAGCAAGAGTATTTGGAGGAGATGTACGAGCAAAAGGAGGAGTATGAAAGACAACTCAAGATCATAGAGGATGGGCAACAAGCCGAGGCCGATGCGAAGTTCCCAGAATCGTGCGAGCAAGAAGCCGAAGTGATCGAAGTCGAGGAAAAGATCTTGCTCTTGGTCGAAGAGGGCCTTGGCGAGAAGATGAGCGTGGAGGACAAAGTAATCGATGTTGCAAGCGAGATCATGGTCGAAGAGATGTTCGAAGTTGAGATCATCGCCGTGGCTGACGAGGGCCATGACGAGACGCGTAGGAGGTACAATACGGATGTAGGGGACGCGACGTTCCAACTTGAGATCGAAGAAAGAGTTCCCGATGTTTGGATGGTCGAGGATGGATCCTTGAGGACAAGGAAAGTCTCGAAGAGGAGGGGAATGATATGGAAGTGGGTTCCGGACCCCGATGACAAGAAGATCCAAGAGGCGAGACGACCTGATGAGGCTGGAAAAAGGGCCAAAACGACACATGCATGGCCTAAAAGACGGGTACGAGCTCGTATGCGGGGCACTCGAGCACATGAGAAGTGGCACGTACAAGGCAGTAGACAAAGGCGCGCACACACGCATTGGCGTAGACGCGCATGGCGCTTGGAGAATAGGCGAAGTGGCGCGCAGGGGGAAGCTGTTGGGTGGATGATGCGCGCGAGGGATTGTTGCGGTAGAACGAGCGAGCGATGGGCGCTGGGTGAGGTAGCGCTGGGCACACGCAAGTGCGTATGGGCGCTGGGAGCAGTGGGGCGCGCTGGGCGTGCGGATGGCATGCACGCGGGTGGCGTGTGCATGGGCACAAGCCTAGACCGCGTAGGCATAGGAGCGCTGGACGACGAGCGCGGGGCGCACGACGACACGCACGAGGCACAAATCAAGACCGGGGTGGCAAGCCTAATCCTCGTAGAAATAGGCAAGGCGCGAATATTAATCCTCGCAGGAATAGGAAAAGTAGTTGAGTGCCAGAACACGCGTGGAAGATTGGTGACAGGAGTAATCCTCAGAAGATCAGGAAACATAACCGGGAGCATATTTCTAGTAGGAATAGGAATAGTGGATATAGGTTCGAAGCATGGTCCTACAAGGAATAGGAATGGCGTGCACATGCGAGGCAGACGGACGAAGACTAGTCCGCGCGGGACTAGGCGAGGCAGGGGCGTGCGCGTGCGAAGCAGGCAAGGCGCGCGATGCCTCACGCGCCAAGGAATAGGATAGCCGAGGGCGGCGCGCGTAGAGGCAGTGACTTGGACATGCGCAAGACTTAAGCTTCTAGAAGTACTTGGTGTGCAAGTCAAGACGTTAGGAGATCTAGTAGATTTAGGAATTTATGGTAGTAGGATATTTACTTGCCTCAGGATTTAATATTTAATTGTTTTAATAGTTTCCTAGTAAGATTAGCATTAGAGATAGTTGGCACCTATAAATACCCCATGTACCTCATCATATTTTATGTCTTGAATTGAGTATTGAATTGGTGAGCCAATCTTGAGGGGGAACTGATGTTCTTAATGTGTGTTTAAACAAGGCCGTTAGTGCGTGTTTACATACAGTGTCGGAGAGAAGGCCATTAGAGCGTCTTGAAGTCACGGTATCTAGGAGAAGGCCGTAGTGCGTCTGTTAGATACACCTATCGTGGATAAACGAAGGCCCTGAGTGCGCCGTTTGTTCACAACCCGTATAGATAACAACACGATCCGTCATCACTGACTGCCGGCGCACTGCTGCTGCTGTGTGCGGGCAGCGTGGCCACGACCGGCCCTTGCCGGCCGTCCGGTGACTTCTCTCGACTGTTTCAACACTAATCAACATGATATAACATAAAATGATCATAACCACCTAATCCCATGAAATTGCACGAGAAAGACATGAACATAGCTCGGAAAAATGGTTGTAGCGTGCGCGTAGGCACGACCCAACGCTACGGCCGATATGTTCGGCCACTTGACAACTCTTCCGACCGTTTATCACATGAATCAATTTAACTGATTATAATATGACCAATTATACATAAAGTGCTCAGGATTATGTGAGATGACGACCAGTTCAGGATTATGTTTATAAAGTTTAAATTATACGGGAGTTATACTTATAAAGTTTAAATTATGTTTTGTACAGTTTGAATTTGGCATAGCAGTGCTGTTGCTATCTCCCGTAGACTTATTTTCACGATCGCAGCACTGTTATCATGTTTTGCCACTACAGTTTCCGCTGACTTTTCACTGTTTTTCAAACTTAGCCCTTTTGACTGTCAGCAGACTGTAAGTCCGTTTTCTTAAAAACAGTTTGATTTAAAAGTAAGTCATGTATTATGGTAGCACTCCGAAATAGTATTTTGCAAACCAATCAGTATTTTATTTAAAAAGGTTTGTATAAACTTACTCTGATTTTCATGTCAAGGTGGGGTGTTACAGTTGGTATCAGAGCACTTTTCTGCGTCTCTGAAAATTATTACGAGTCAAAAATTTTTCAAAAAACCTGAACACGTCACGCTCACGCCTCGCCGACTATAGGTAAGTGCTGATTTATGTTTTTAAATTATAAACAAATTACTATGTCTGTGCTCAGAAATTTCTCAGTTATAATATAGTTAAGATGCTCGAATCATGTTCAGGATCAGTAGTTCAGAATATCAGTCAGTATTTCTCAGTCATGTTTAGCAACTCGTCAAGAGATTTGTGCGCTTTAATGATCAGTTATAGTATGTTCCTTGTATGTTGATCATGTTGAATTTTTCCAATATTCAGATGCCGCCACGTAGAGAATCTGATCATCCGAAAGTTCCTCAGGCCACGATAGTCGCACAGTTCCGCGACTACCGCCCTGAGAAATTCTCCGGTCAGGGAGACCCGCATATCGTAGATGAATGGGTTCATGGCCTCGAATTGATTTTTTAGGTCATGGACTGTCCAGATCGGTATCGCGTTACTTGCGCACAACTTCAGTTGACTGGTGATGCTCGACTCTGGTGGAATGCCTACTGGAGTATGCGTCCCGGCGAGAAAGAAGGTTGTACCTGGGACAGATTCAAGGAGATGATTCGTGAGAAGTATTATCCCACGTACTACCGAGCAGAAATGGAGCGTCAGTTTCTGTCGCTCAAACAGGGTACTCGTTCTGTTGATGAGTACGAGAGAGAGTTTACCAGACTTGGAGCCTTTGTTCCAGACTTGGTGCGTACAGAGGCTCAGAGAGCACATCGTTTCACTGACGGGCTTTACCCAACAGTCCGTCACAACATTGTAGGTCATGGGACCCAGACGTACGCTCGTACCGTTGCCATTGCACAGGAGGTGGATGCCAGCATCCGAAGGGAGGCTAATTGTGATCGTCCTCAACCAGTTGCCCCAGCCCAATCATCTACCACTCCACCAGTACCACCAGCTGCTGCCCAACCACCGAAAGGCCAGAAGAGGAAAGAGAAAGGTGCCCAGACGGACAGGAGGACTCGACAGAGGCCACAGCAGATTCCATAGTGCCCCACTTGTGGACGACTTCATCGCGGAGAGTGTTATGTTTGCCAGGACTTTTGCTATTACTGTCACGAGCCCGGACATTTTGCTAACCGTTGTCCGAAGAAACTTCAGCAGCAGCCACAGTAGCCCCAGCAGCCACAACAACAGCAGCCCCGACAGCAGGCTCAGAGGCCACCCCAGCAGCAGAGGGGCAGACAACAAGCACGTGTCTATGCAGTCGATCAGGCCGAGGCGGAACAACACCCAGGTACCATGTCTGGGATGCTTATGCTTAATGATATTCCTGTCTTCGCCTTATTTGATACGGGAGCAACTCACTCTTTTATATCACGACGATGTCTCTATGCCATCGGAGTTTATGTCAGTACCGCTGTCGATCCTCTTGAGGTGAGCTTAGCCTCGAGACGAAAGATAGTGACTTCAGCCAAAGCCACAGATATCAGCCTTTCTATCGATGGCCGTATATTGTCTACCGACGCTTATGTTCTCGAGATGAGGGATTTTGACCTCATACTCGATATGGATTGGCTAACACTTTTCCATGCAGATATCCGATGTCATGACCGGGAGATTACCCTTTATCTTCTAGGAGATGATCAGATTACTTTCTTCAGTACTAAGACTCGTTCATTGCCTCATGTTATTTCTATGGCGAAAGCCAGAAAGATGTTGCGACGAGGCAACTGTCAAGATTATCTCATCAGTCTTGTTGATGATTTTCCGAAGGCACGTAAACCTCATGACGTTCCCATTGTTCGTGAGTTTGTGGACGTGTTTCTGGATGAGCTTTCAGGAGGACCACCTAACCGGCAGGTAGAGTTCTCTATTGATCTTATTCCAGGAGTTGGCCCAGTTTCTAAAGCACCCTATCGTATGGCGCCGAAAGAATTGCAAGAGCTTAAGGCGCAAATCCAGGAGTTATTACGACTCGGTTTTATTCGACCGAGCGTGTCACCATGGGGATCACCCGTTCTCTTTGTCAAGAAGAAGGACGGATCCATGCGCATGTGTATCGACTCTCGGGATCTTAATCGGTTGACGATCAAGAACAAATATCCGCTTCCCAGGATCGACGACTTATTTGATCAGCTGAGGGGAGCTTGTGTTTTCTCTAAGATTGATTTGTGATCAGGCTACCATCAGCTGAAAATCAAGGAGTCAGATATTCCCAAGACCGCTTTCCGTACTCGTTACGGTCATTACGAATTCATTGTCATGCCATTTGGCCTCAGCAATGCTTCCGCAGTATTCATGGATCTGATGAACTGTATTTTCCATCGATATCTCTATCAGTTTGTCATTGTTTTCATTGATGATATTCTTATCTACTCAAAGAGCCAGAAGGAACATGAGGAGCATCTGAGGGTTGTTCTTGAAACCCTTAGACGAGAAAAGTTATACGCAAAATTCTCTAACTGCGAATTTTGGCTCCAGCGAGTAGCCTTTCTTGGTCATGTGATTACTCAGGCAGGTATTGAGGTAGATCCATCCAAAGTTGTTGCCGTTCAGACTTGGTCGACATCGAAGAGTCCGTCCGAGGTTCGCAGTTTTCTCGGTTTGGCTGGTTATTACCGCAGATTCATTGAGGGCTTCTCCAAGATTGCCCTTCCCTTATTCCAGCTGAC